TGAATATATTTTTTGAAACTTTCAAAAAATTTATTTAGTTGTCATGGTCTTACTGAAAGACACTCTGGTCGTACTTGTTACTCCTAAATATTTTGTGCAAATTGTTTGGTCTTTCTAATTGTTGCTATGGGTCTTGACTTTTACGTATTTGTCTTGGTCTTCATGAAAGACACTCTGATCATGCTTGTTTGTATTACTGGTCCTTGGTTTTAGTTCTTGGTCTTGGACCATTGCTCTTTGGTTTACGGTGGGATTTTTGGGGGATTTTTTTGAATTTTTTTCTTTTTTTAGTGGTTTTTTTAATGAGACTTTTTGTTTTTTGGTTTAGTGTTTTTTTTTTATAATTTTGATAGTGTGCATTTATCTATGTAATTAACTTCTATTTTGATTATTTAACAATGGAAAATTTCATTTATTTTTATATTTTTGCAATTTATTTCTTTTCACTATAGGTCCAATTTCTTACTTAATATAATTTTAAATTATAAAATGAGATAGTATAAAAATTTTTTTTTGTAATTTATTTCTTTTCATTTTAGTTCCAATTTCTTACTTAATATAATTTTGAATTATATAATAAGACCATATAAAACATACTACACGACCTTTATATAACAAGACCATAAAATGAATTACAATACATGAATTTTAAAATTTTATATAGTAACACCATGAATTAAATTATTGTTGTAAGACCTATAAAATTATATAATAAAATCATAAAACAAATTATATAGAGGAATTAAGACCATTAACACCAAGAATTAAGACCAGATTGACCTTTGAAATGCGTCGCTCCTTACACACGCACGCTTCTCACAAACGTCCGCTCTGATATCTCCCCTGAAAAAAGATTTCCAATTTATATTCGAAGGGCCCCGCACGCGGCCGAAAAACACGCCAGCCGAAGGCTACGTGAGCATTTGCCGCGAAGTATCTCCCGCTCACACATTGCCGCTCCTCACACACGCTTGCTCCGATATCTTCCCCGAAAAAAGGTTTTCAATTTATATTCGAAGGGCCGCGCTGGCAGCTGAAAAGCACACTAGCCAAAGGATATGTGAGCATCTGCCGCGAAGTATCTGCCGCTCCTCACAAACGCCCGCTCCAATATCTCTCCCGAAAAAGGGTTTCCAATTTATATTCGAAGGGCCGCGTAGGCGGTCGAAAAGCACGCTAGCCGAAGGCTACGTGAGTATCTGCCGCTCCTCATACACGCCCGCTCTGATATCTCCCCCATAAAAAGGTTTCCAATTTTTATTCAAATGGTCGCGTAGGTAGCCGAAAAACTCGCTAGCTGAAGGCTATGTGAGTATCTGCCGCTCCTCACACACGCTAGCTCCGATATCTCTCCTTTAAAAAGGTGCATCTAGCTAAGTGCACTTAGATGCTATTTTAATTATTTAATAATAGAGGGACTTCATATGTAATTTATTTAACATACCTTTTTTTTTCTTTTTCAATGCACGTGTCCGTTCCCCTTAATTTTAGAAAATGGGTTTTAAAAATTTCTTTTATTTTCAAAAGATTTTATTTTTTAATCCGTAATAAACTAGACCAAGTGTCTTATATTATTTTGATAGTACTCGATGAGATCTATCCAACAAGATCCATAATGAATATGTTTTTCAAAACTTTAAAAAATTTATGCAGTTGGTTTGGTCATCCTAAAAGACGATATGGTCTTACTTGTGTCTTTTAGGACCAAGACCTAGAACAAATACCAAAGACCAAAGGCCAAACACTAAAAATCGAAAACTAAAGAGCAAAGAAAAAAAACTAAAGACCAAAGATCAAAGTGAAAAGCGAGCGTGTGTGAGGACCAAAGACCAAAGACCAAAGACCAAACATCAAAGACCAAAAACCAGAGTGAAGAGCGAGCGTATATGAAAAACAGAGACCAAAGACAAAAGGCCAAAGACTAAAAACCGAAAATTAAAGATCAAAGACCAAAGACCAGAATGAATAGTGAGTGTGTATGAGGAGCAAAGACCAAAAACCAAATACCAAAAAGCAAAAACCAAGACCAGAATTAAAAGTGAGCGTGTGTGAGGAACAAAGACCAAAGACCAAAGACCAAATGCCAAAGATAAAAAATCGAAGACCAAAGACTAAAGACCAAAGAGCAAAGACCAAAGTGAAAAGTGAGCATGTGTGAGGAGCAAAGACCAAAAACCAAAGCCCAAAGACTAAAAACCGAAGACCAAAGAGGAAAGACCAAAGACCAGAGTGACGAACGAGTGTGAGGTGCAAAGACCAAAGACGAAAGGACAAGGACAAAAAACCGAACACTAAAGAGCAACAAAGAAGACCAGAGCGTCTTTTAGGAAGACAAAGCCAATTGCATAAAAATTTTATAACTTTCAAAATTATATTCATGATGGATCTCGTTTGATAGACCTCATCGAGTACTATCAAAATGATATAAAACACTTGGTCTAATTCTTTACGGATTATGAAATAAAATCATTTGTAAATTGAAGAAATTTTTAAAACCCAATTCCTAAAATTAAGCAATGCTCATATAAGGGTTGTTTAAGGCATGTGTACTACACACATAAAAAAACGGATGTGAGGGGACATGGAGTTAAATGTGCGCGTGTATTCGTATTAAGTGCAACTACCTACATGCACTTAATGTGCATATTATAATAACTCAAAAATTAGTATATCTATAGTAAATCAAGGTGATTCTTTTTTGGAAATTTTTTAAAAAGGGCATGAGAAAGATGAAAATTATTCTAAAGGGCATAAACATTATTTTATTAGTTTTGTAAATTTCTTAAATATAACTAATGTTTTATGACAATTTAAAAGATAATTTTATCCTTTTAATTAACACCCCTACAGTTTCATCCCTTCTTTTTCCCCAATCAGTAATCCCACCGATTAGATCTCAATTAAGAGTTTCAACCAGATTCTTGAATTCAACTATTTGATCCAAATTGGTTTTTGTTGTTTTCTCCTTTTCGATTTTAGCTTCCTTGGTTTCATCACTTGAATTTTAATAGTGAAAACGTAAATCTAATGAGAGCCCTAATTTTTATAAAGAAGGGGATTAACAGCTTCCGGGAATTGAACGACTTTTCATTGAAATTGAAGTCGTCAATCACGGTAACATTTCCTGTCCCACTTCTCTTCCTGCTCCGAGGGTCGGCAGCCCGTGTCCTTAGCTTACGAATATATAAAGAAGGATTTGTACCAACCTATACCAAAGAGAGCTTCGATTCTGAATTTTATTTGTACCAAGTTCATCGAAAATAAATTCAATGAAGGCCCATAAGATGCATACACTTCACACACTACTCACAGTCATAAGAGTAAAGTAAGCTGGTATTGAAGTTATCAACAAATATTTCGAAATGAAAATGACAAGCGGAAGCTATCAACAACATATCAAAGATAAAAAATGAGATCTTTCTTCGGATTTTCAGCTCTGTTCTACTTCATTCTGGCTATTAAAATGAGTAATATGCAACTATGTTTCTTGGATTACTGTTTCATTGCCTAAAACTCGAAAACTAGAATGCCAAATTTTCTGTTTTTGATCAATTTTGAATTAGTTTCAAGTATTTTGATGGTTTTTGCTCTACCAGGTCATTCTTGGCCTCCAGTGATCAACCACTTTATTGGAAAGTGACGAATCCCAATTTGTCTGTTGTGCATCTTCATAACAAAGCAAATATTTGACGGCATAAAATGGCTGCCGAAAGTTGTCTCCAACGATGACAATGTGAGATTTTATATATTAGGGTTAGGGTTACAACATAGTAAATATACATGATAACTAAGTAAATACAAAAGTTACATTTACTATATGTACAGTACTCTAACACCCCCCTCAAGGTGGAGTATGGGGATTCCGAATGCCCAACTTGCCAAGAAAGAAATCAAAGTGACGCTTCCCCAAAGCTTTGGTGAAGATATCAGCTAATTGCTCACGAGTGGAAATATGAAAGCAGAAATAACACCTTGTTGGAGAGCATTACGAAGAAAGTGACAATCAACCTCAATGTGTTTCGTTTGCTCATGAAAAACATGATTGGCTGTAATATGCAAAGCAGCTACAAAGCAGCCTTACTATCACAGTAAAGATGCATAGGCTGAGAGTGAGCAACCCCAAGACTACGCAATATACCCTTCAACCATTTTGCTTGATGAATATAAACAATCAGGGATAAATTTATCTCTTTCTTTTCGTTCTTTTTTCAGAAGAAGGTACTAGATAGATTTGTACCTTTAGATGAATTGGACTTTTATTTTCGCAAATGATAAATTTTGCAATTTTTGGTTCGCATGCAGGCTGGCGAAATTAAAGCTCTATGTACCATAATCGTTGTTGTGACTGGCTTAGAACATAGACAAAGATAGACTTGCTGTCAGCCGATCTGAGGCTGCCAATCACCTTATGGAGGGGAATCCAACCAAGTATGTTTCTTTCTTCTTTTTTTTCAATATTGGATTTTAGGCTTAGTTTGTTAGATGTTGTTTTGCAATGCACGTAGAAGAAGTTGAAGGATATGATAGGAAAAATCAAGAAACATTGAAGGCAACTCGAACTTGACCCTGTTGTTTGAATACTGTATACCTGTCGGAATGTTACCCTTCTCTGGCCCTTTAATAGACTTTCCAATCCTCAGCTGCAAGGATGCCTATTCCACATTTTTCCCTGCGTTTCTTTTTAGAATTTATTGTCTGTGAACAGTACGGTTTGTTTTATTTTTTTAAGATTAGTGGGAATGCTTATTTTTCTTCTCATTTCTCTTTTTATTGATAAGGGTGGTTTTCTTGGGAAAATATTTGTCAGTTATTTAGCCAATTTTACTTAGTAGGCTGAACTTTGATTTAGCCAATTTCACTTAGTAGGATGAACTTAGTTTTGATTTTATTACTTCACACTGCCATATAAATAGACTGTTACTAGAATGCTTCATATGATTCAAGCACAGTATATGAAGGTCTACTTTGAGGTTGAAGCCTGATGTTAATTTACAAGGAACATGGTTATTGCAAAACAAAGAAGTATCCTAATGGGGATATGTGTCCATCATAGATGCTAATCTTGACATGTTTTTGCTTCCTGTGCAGCTCGATTTGACTTTGTGTACGATATGCTATGTTCATCAGAGTTCGGCTATCATTACTTCAGATTTTAGATGCGTTGAGATTACCGAAGTTGTAAAGAATGATTGGACGGTTGAAGAAACTCTCCTCTTACTAGAAGCTGTGATGCATTATGGTGATGACTGGAAGAAGGTTGCTGACACTGTCACTGGAAAGAGCGACAAGAGTGTGTAGCTCGTTTTATTAAGCTTCCTTTTGGCGACCAGTTTGTTGGATCTCCAGAATCTTCTGAGATGGAGCATGAATTTGGTCCAAAGGATTCATCATTTCCAAACAAAAAGATGCGCTTTACACCACTTGCAGTCAGATGCAAGCAACCCTATAATGGCCCAGGTATATATTCTAGGCCCAGAGAGTTTGAGCAGACGAGCTCCGCGGTGATATTTGAAGAAATTAAGATAGCGAATTCATGGTGAAGGTCAAGCCAGTTTGGTAATTTTCATGTTTCTTATCATCTTCGTAAATTTTTTGTTGTACGTCTTGTTATATTTGATTGAATTAGCGTTCTTATCCTAAATTTGACTTGTCAGGATAGCCCGGTCGCAGAAGGTAATTAATCAAACTTGACCTCGAAAGATATAGAATAACCGTACTTATTTTGTTTGAAAAGGAGAACTTGAGATTGAACTTGCAGATGGATGAACAGATTGGTGAGTTTTCCTGGAAGCCTTGAAATTTTTTTCTTCTTTTAGACTCCAAGAGTTCCCTTATTGAGAAATGAAGATTCGATTATATTGAACAACAGAACAATGAAGTACATGCCGCAAAGTTGTTAAAGAACAGCCCTATCTGTGAATTTAACTTAATTGTTTGTCTATGTTGTAATTCCACAAGTTGGCTATGATCATCGGAAAGTTACCGATCTTGCTTGCAGGTTGCCCTAACCATTCTGATTCTTCATGTTTGTTTTTGGCAATTAAATTCTTTCCCAATTTTTCCTGTATACTTTTTGCTTGGTCATATTTTTGGCCTCTCTCTGATGCTACCAGTTTATTCTTTGGATTTCTGTATTACAAACTAAAACTACATGAGAGGAATTTATTGCCAGAAATGCAGCTATGGCTAAGGATCTAGAAAGTATCTTGAGTCTGTCTCTTTGAATTTGTTGGTCTTAAGAATTTTTTTGGAGGTTTATGAAGGAAATGATGTATTAACACACAAAGGACATATACCTCTGAAGGTGGTCTGGATACACTGGATTACAATGCAGAGAGTGAGTATTTATTTTATGTTCCATGGTGATTGGAGTACTACTTTTGAGTATTGTTGATTCTTTAGCTTCTGTTTTGCCTTCTGGCCTGATTCAATTAGGCTGAAAGGTCACGAAATCGAAAGACAGCCAGCAGATAGTACTCCATCATCACGATTCCAAAGAAGTTTCCGAGCTTGCATTTGGTTAGCCAAAAGACCCATGGCGGATGAGAAAGACAACAACTTCAGCACAGATTTACAGCAGTTCCAGTGTTCTTTTATCGTGGTTTGCAGGTGAAGAAGCTTTGCAGCTGGACTCAATGAATTATGATGATATCCTTGATGGGGTCTCAGCAACAATGTCAAATTTATTGTCCAAATCAGACATCCAAAATGTGTGAAAGTTGACTAAATTTTGAAGAGCGGACGGGGGACCAATCCCTGTTCTGGGGCTCCTACAGTGATGTTGTTGTTGGATCAAGTGGGGATGATTTGGACGCCATGGCAGAGCCATTGCCAAAGTTTAACAATTCGGTTTGAAGTTCATCATCATTTCCACAGCTTCAGATTCTATTTTCAGGGGAAGCAACACATATAACTCATTATTCAGCTACTCTCATTAAACATTAATCTACTATACTATTCTTGTTTTCTTTTTCTGTTTTTTTTTTGTTTTGTTTGTTTTTACAAACGACAAAAGAATACAGTTTAGTTTATGCAATTAACATACTAAAGTTAAATGCAAAATGCAACTTAGAATCTAATGCATTTTCCGATCTTTATATTGTAGACCATGGTCCATGTGGATCATATAGAATATTCACGCGCTTGAGAAAAAAAAAGGAGAAAATATAGGAAATTTGTTTAGAGGAGAGAAAAAAAAAATGATATTAATTTCCACGGAGGAAAAATAAGAATTTTGTTTTATATTTCATCTCAAATTCTTCCTTTTCATAAACCTCATCTAAATTTCATGAAATCATTCTACTCTACGCCGCCAATTGCTGATGTACAAAGAAACAAAATTTTAACTCTTAATTCATTATACAACTTGAGTTAATAGCGGAAAAAATTTCAGTGGCGATTCTTGGCTCTACGGCGCCGGAATTCCTTTACAATGGAGAAAAGGTTTGTATTGTTTTTTTTTTTTCTTCTTTTTCTATTTAGGATCGAAACATTTGAATATCAATGCTATTTAATGTTTAGGGTCTTAGGGATCCATTAACCTTAGAATTGTTTTTGCAAATTATATTTCATGTTTTTGTTTATAAGCATTTTTGTTAAAGATTATACATGATGGCCTAATTCCTAATATTTTTGTTGACACTGGTTTTTTCATATTACTATTATCAAAGAGTTGCAAAGATAGGGTTTTATTTTATTTTATGTTCATACATGAGAATTTTATTTGTATTTGTTTTGATCTCTTATGTAGCTATTCTACTATTTTTATATAGAAGTCGTATGGTTTTGTTTTACATGAAATTTTGAATTATATACCTTAAATATTGAAAATAAATTATTATTGCCATCGAAGCTCAAAACTATTGCATGTTGATGACATTAGTATACATATATAAAGAAATTGAGCTCGATCACGTTAGTATACATACCTCATATGTATTATGTTCACATACAAAATCTTAAATGTTTATATGGTTAATCAAATAGCCGAAGTTCATACAATAATGCTAAAATTTTCATATGATTAATGAAACAGCTAATGTTCATACAATAACTAAAATATTCATAGTTATGCCTTGATTCATAGTTTTGTTACAACAATATAGACTTTATGCATGAAGGTACATTTTTTTTATTAATTTTATACTCAAATTTGAAAATGCACAATATATTTTATAGTTTCCTTCTTGTTTTCTTTTCTTTTATGGGAATAAGTGTTTTGGGTAGGTGGTTGTCATGATTTTAAAAAGTTGGAAGGTTTGGATTTTCGGTTACTTACATATTTTATCCTTTTTTTAAAAGTTCATACAATTTTGTTTTAAAAATGATACTCAAACTATTTAATGTTCATACACTTAAGGTAAAATTCATAGTAATTACATTCTGGTGCAAATCTTTACACGATACGTGTTTAATATTCATAAACAACTGCAATGTTCATATGCTTAATCAAATAGACAAATATCATGCAATATTTGTGAAATGTTTTGTTTTCTTATAATGAAATAGGGTGTTTTTTAGCCACGCTTAAAGTTCATACAATAATAAGATATTGTTCATATTTAGTTATTTATTATTTTTAGTTCTGGTATCACATATTTTTGGTTCCTATTTATTTTCCCTCTCACTCAATTTCAGTAGGATCATTATTTTTTTTTTTAGTTTAGCTAGTTAGCTAATTATGCATTTTGTTTGAATTATATATTTGGATGTTCATATGATTAATTAAATAGCAAAAATTCATCTAATAATGCTAAAATGTACATATGATTAATCAAATAGCCAAAGTTCATTGATTCGTAGTTTTGTTGCAACGATATAGACTTTATAAATGAAAGTACATTATTTTTTTACTAATGAATTTGATAATTTCTTGAGTACAGACTTGCATTTTAATCTAAGACAATTAAACTGACAAATTGTTGTGGATGCTATTGTAGCGGTGATTGTTAAATCTATGGATCGAAACCAATTATTAATGGAAAGAAAAGGTTTGATTTTTAATGTATATATGTTTTGAGGCTATGAAATGAAATATGTGCATTTTTCTTAATATGTTTATTCATTATTTGTTCAATGTTTATACACAATAGGTTTCATGTTCATATGTTTAAACTAAATCTAACTTTCATAGCAATTATATGTTTATAGTACATATGGATAGTGTTCATATATATATATATATATACATATAAGGTTTTTATGTTTATAACTTTATTTTTTTATTAATTGTAATAAGTCAATACCCGATAAAAGAGTCATAGAAGAGTATGGAAAAAGAAAGAATAGATTAGTAGGTGGGTTTGTTCGAATTTTGATATTCATAAGGGTAGACGGTGTTAATCATGGTGGAGGTAGCTGAGAAGGTGGGTTTGTTCGAATTTTAAATCGGAGATTTGAAGGGCACCAAGATGATGAGAGAGAATATTTAACTGTTCTGATTAGATAAATATTAGTAATGATAAGATTTCAAGATAATTACTAAAATAGAAAATATAAAAAAGAATATCACTTGCTAGTTGAGAGAGTGAGTAACACATCCCCTTATGGCTCACATTGCAAGATGGACCATGGTCCACGATATAATTTGTCTGTATTTTCTATATGTGTGCCCTTAACAGCTTAAGTTTGCAGGTTTAGGTGAGTGAGTTTCAGATTTGCATTTTAACATTTGATACATTCCAAATGAACATACACATTTATTTATTTTATTATTTTGTAAGTGAAATAAAATTAATAGAATTTACTTTAACCCAGTGGCTTTATCTCTTGGACAAATTCTATTTTACATCATAGAATTTACAGATTATAAATTTGCCTAATAATTTGAAACAAATGATTGGTTGATAGAATATTAATATTTTTTACATAAACCACTCAACTTAATTAATAATAAATAGTTTGGAACAAAAAATTGGTTGATAGAGTATTAATGGGACTGTGGCTTTGAGTATTAATTGGTTGATAGAATATTCGGGTCTTTTCCCTAAAAAAATTGATTAAAATAAAGGTGGACAAATTTAAATTTTTAAAATATCTGTGGACATATATATATATCCCACGGATTTCTGAAATCCGAGTGCTAATTAAAATTAAACCTTCGGATTTCCGAAATCCGAATCCACATATAATATTAAATAATAATTATATACATTTTGTGGAATTATAGTAAAAAAATCAGAAAATGAACAGTACATTCGGATTTTGAAAATCCAAATTCCAAAAAAAGAAGGCAAATTGAGGCGCGAAATTTTTGAACTCAAATAAGGAGTCCAGGTCCTGGACTCCTTAAATAAACAGTTCTATTCGGATTTACAAAATTCGAATGCCTTAAAAAAAGAGAAAATTAAGGTGCAAAAATTTTTAACTCAAAAGAGAAAATGAACAGTTCCATTCCGATTTAATCCGAATGCCTTAAAAAAAAAGAGAAAATTGAGGCGCGAAATTTTTGAACTCAAATAAACAGTTCCATTCGAATTTACGAAATCCGAATTTATTAAAAAAAGGAGAAAATTTTTTAATCCAGAAAGCTGGAATTCCGTGATCAGGATACAGAGATTCGGATTTTGGAAATCAGAAGGCTTTTAATTTTGGTTGGTGGAAGTAGGCATCTGCCATAAATTGGAGGACCAAAAAATAGAATAAAAAATCCGGAATTGACCAAACACGGATTTTTGAAATCCGACTATACGACGAGTCAGATTCAGGGAATCCGAGTTACTTAGAGATTCGGATTTCAGAAATCCGATTCGGATTTCAGAAATCCGAGTTTAGCGTGCTATAAAAGAAAAAAAAAATCAGACAGTTCTCATTCGAGAACTAAATTGGATTTTCTGTTTCTGCAGC